TGATGATGATGGTGATGCTGGTGCTGATTATGTTGCTGCTGCTGATGATGATGCTGATGGTGGTTGTGGTGCTGATGTTGATGATGCTGCTGGTGCTGTTGATGAGGATGTTGATGATGCTGATGATGACGATTATCATGATGGTGACGATGATGATGATGATGATGATGATGATGATGATGATGATGATGATGATGATGATGATGATGATGATGATGATGATGATGATGCTGCTGCTGCTGCTGCTGATGCTGATGATGATGATGATGATGATGATGATGATGCTGATGATGATGATGATGATGATGCTGATGCTGCTGCTGCTGATGATGATGATGATGATGATGATGATGTGATGCTGCTGCTGATAATGCTGACGATGTTGATTATGATGATGCTGCTGATGATGATGGTCTTTATCCTGATGATGATGCTGATGGTGGTGATGATGCTGATGATGCTGCTGCTGATGCTTATGATGATGACGATTATGATGATGATGATGATGATGATGATGATGCTGCTGATGCTGATGCTGATGCTGATGCTGATGCTGATAATGATGATGATGATGATGATGATGATGATGATGATGATGATGATGATGATGATGATGATGATGATGATGCTGATGCGGATGCGGATGCTGGTGATGGTGATGGTGATGGTGATGGTGATGGTGATGGTGATGGTGATGCTGATGATGACGATGATGAGGTGGAGGAGGCGGAGGAGGAGGAGGAGGAGGAGGAGGAGGAGGAGGGGGAGGAGGAAGAAGAGGGAGTCCATGGTGACAGCGGCGGAGCGGTCCTGGGGCCTGGGCAGGTGCTTGCCCCGCCTCTCCGAGAGGAACCCCATCTCGGTGCTCCGCGTGTTCGCGGGGCGCCTGCCAATGCTGATTCGTTTTTTTATCCTGGAGGCTCCGTCTCCGCCGCCAGCTCCCGTGTCCTGTCCCTCGATCTGGACCCCATGTGCGGCCTCCTCCTCCTCCTCCGTCCTCCTCTTCAGTCCTCCGTCGTCCACCTCCTCTTCAATCCTCCTTGCTCCTCCCCTCTACCTCCTCCTCCTCCTGTTCCTCCTCCTCCTCCTCCATTCCCTTTCCTGATAAATAATAATCTCTCCCTGTCGCACTCCGAGGTCAGTTTTTAGGGCGGGCCGGGCATTTCGCCTGAGACTTCCTCACCATTTATGGCCCTGAAGCTTCAACATAGGCAACAGTTCTACAGATGGAGGGCGGGTCGTTTTCAAAATGTGGCTCTCGCCTTAGCGCCGCGCGCGTTCGTTGCGCAAACATGCAAGAATCTCGCGGATTGAGGGTGATCCGTTTTCAAAATGTGGTTCTTGCTTTCGTGCCGCGCGCATTCGTTTAAAGACATTGCAAGAGTTTCATGGACTGAGGGGAACCCGTTGTCCAAATTTGGCTTTCGCCTTAGCGCCGCGCGCATTCGTATTTAACATGTGCAAGCGTTCCAAGGAGTGAGGGCGGTTTCTTTTTAAGTTGTGGCTCCCACCCTAGCGCCGCGCACATTCGTACCATACATGTTTTTTCTTGAAAGGATTCAGGAATATGAGGGTGCAACAGTTACATTCGTTCGCGGTGTTGAAGTCCCAGGGCTGGCGTTCGGGTCTTCAACACGCAACAATCAGGTTGGTCCGTGGCGTTGGAATCCAAAGAACAATGTTTTGGCATGCGTCGGGGTCTTCAAACGGTGGTCTTCCAACGAGGAAATGAACCGTTGTATGGACCTATCAAGAGGGAGCTTGGAGGGAGGGTTTATTCCAACATCGTTGATGACTCTTGGGTTTGCACTGGTCCTCCTCCTCCTCATCCTCCTCCTCTCCCTCCTCCTAGTCCATTCTGAATCCGCCATCCTCCATACTCATACAATCGCTCAATCTGAAGACTATTCTCTTCTCACCCCTGAAGTTCTCTGAGGCGCCCTCTCTGCGTATTGTATTCGAACACGCAGGATGTCGGATCGGCGCTTTGCTCCCGTCGTTCAGAATGGCGCTCTCGCCGCAGCGTGGGCCACTTCTGGATCCCACAGGCCTCGCAAATCCCATAGGTCTCTCAGGTATCGCAGGCCCCAGGTGTTCCCACCGGTCCCATTGAACCCACAGGTGTCGCATGTCGTTCCGCAGGTCCCACAGGTCCCACAGAGTCCACTTGTACAACAGATCTGACAGGTTCCACTGGTCCAACAGGTTCTCCAGGCGTCGCAGGTCTTGCAGGTCCCACCTTTCCCACAGGTCCGACAGGTCCCGCAGGTCCCACAGGTGTCGGTCGCAGGTATCACAGGCACCGCATACCACAGATGTCCTCAGGTCGCACAGGTCTCATAAGTCCCGCTGGTCCCAGAGGTCCACGGTTCCCACCTGCCCCACAAGTCCCACAGGTTTCACAGGTTGCACAGGTCGCACAGGTCTCACAGGCAAGTCCCACAGGTTCCACGTGTCCCACAGATAGCACAAGTCCCTCAGTTCCCACCTGCCCCACAGGTCCCACAGGTCACCTTTGCTGTCATCCGGGTGCTCTGCTGGGATGATGGAGTTGCAGGTCGGCGATGACACGCGTCCGCGGATAGAGAAACATCAGCGCACTGGAAAGGGATGGGAGGCAGGGATAAGATATCAAATGTGGCGCGAGCGCACCTAGCTTGTCTCCATCCTCTCTCTCCTATCTCCCTCCTCCCTGCTCCGCCAGGCCCCAGGCCCTAGCGACATGGAGAGGTCGGAATCCGCAGAGGCGTGAACGCAACAGACATGGCGCTCTTGATGGTTTTGCCCGTGTAAATGTCGAGCGACAGTGCGGCCATGCTTTTGGACCGCGCGTTCCCCCAGTGCCTGGGGACACCACTCGGAGAACTTCGGGGAGGGGCCCTCTGGGGTCGGGGACTCTCTTGGGGCTTTTCTCGCGCCATTGAGGCCTTTCTGGGGGCCTCTAGGGGTTCTCGTTGACCACCTTGGGGTTCTCTTGGACTGTCTGAGGGTGCTCTCGGGCCGTCTAGCGCATTCGGAGTTCGTTTGGGGGGCCTGTCTTGACTGTCTTGGGCATCTCCTGGGGTTCTCCGGGGCCGTCTCGGGGCCTGTCCCGGGGTCGTCGTCGGGCCCTCTCGGGCCGTCGTGGGGCTGTCCTGGGGCCGTCTTGGGGTCACCCTGGGCCCTGGGCCGTCTCGGGGGCCTCCTGCGGCCGTCTTGGGCCGTCTTGGTTTTTCGAAAGTCAGAAAATGCGAGAACGCAGCAAGCTTTGAACCACCTGAGGGGAATCAATCATTTCGGCTTCTGGGGGTCCCCTGGAGGTCCTCTGTGTGGTTCTCTTGGAGCGTCTTGAGGGCCTCTTGGGCAGTCTTGAGGTCATTATGTGTCATCTCGGGGCTATCTTGTGCCTCCACGGCCTTGATTCGAGCAGGCGGATTTGTTCTTGCCGATTACAGCGCTGTGGCCTCCGCCGCTTAGTCTTGCCGGAGCAGCGTGCGCGCTTTCGGCATTTTCAGACACCCCGCCGCACAGACTAGTGCAGCGCTGTCGCAATTAGGGAATTCGTAGTTTTTTTTGACGTGCTGGACGAGAGCTGACCAAGAAGGATCCTTGAATTGGTGACGGGGACCATGCAAGATACGTGGCGCCCACATCCTGGGCGATGCTGTGGCCCCCTATGCAGACACAGAAGGATGTGGGCGAGCACACATGCTGCACACCTCACAAGGGAGTCCTCCCCGAGTAAAGCGATATCCGAGTGCCATGCGAGGGGCCATTGCTTGCGCTACAGGTTCCAAGTGATGCAGCCATCACTCTGGTAATTCTGATTGCCTTCGGTTCCATGCATTCGGTGCCGTGGTCGCTCTGCTTGACAGTGGGCGATGCAGGCACGAGTGCGACATCGCAGTGACGTTTTTCCGTTTGGCAGGCTCGCAGCGGTTCCGAGTCGTTTCTGCTCCGCATGGCTCAACAGGCCCCCCCCCCTCTCCGCCTCCGCCCGCCGGCCCGTTCTGGCACCCCACGCGCACCGAAACCACTCCTCGCGCGACCCAGACCCCCACCCCCACCCTCGCCACGCCCCCTGCCCCCCCCCCCCAAGGCGTGCGTCCCGGTGCAGCCGCTCCGAGCCGACTTCGACTCCGCGGCCCGACCCGATGCGCACTCTGCCTCGACTAGGGGGCCACGTGCGAGCCCTACCCCTCCCCCCCACGATTCTGAAGGGATAGGGTGGGGTCCACTGCGCTCGGCGGATAGTGGACCCACCTACCCTCAGAAATCGTGGGGGGAGGGGTAGGGCTCGCAACGTGGCCCCCTATTCGACCCCAGGCTCCGACTGGACGCGGCTGCCTGACCCCTCCTTCGCTCGTGGAGCATGGCGCCAACCTCGCAGACGCCGATAGATTCCGAAAAACGATAGGGGAGGGCCCGGAGTGTCCTGATAAGTTCGTTCCGGATTCGAGGTTGAATCTCGCTCGGATTTTGTTCGGCCAGAGATGAAGACTAAACAACTATCCGCGCGACAATCATCTCCACAGTGAAGCTCAACCTCGTTTTCGCTCGCCGCTTCGTGGCTCTGCCTGGCAGAAATTGCGCAAAAATCCGCTGTAGCACTTCTGCAAGGTCGGTGCAGTGAATGCTCAAATCGGGCGTGCCCCCCCCCCCCCCTACAGGAGGAATCTATTCAACCACAGTAAAAAATAGTCTGGGGACGATGTTTTGACCATCTTTGAATCTATTTGTGGTGTATGTTTGGAGTATATGTGTATTCACACATATATACATATGTACACATATATGTTTTTTGTTATGAAATCTTTTTTTATTTTCCGTCCAGAATCCCCCCGGTAGGGGGCCGTGCCCGACCCAAGCGAGCGGAGCAGGCCCCCCCAGGGAGCATCCGCCTGAGAGGCCGCGCGGCCCCGCGCCCTCCGTCGCCGACGCGCTCGGCGGCCCCGCGCGAGGCCCGCGCGCGGCGGCTCCCCGGCCGGCGCGCCCCCTGGAGCAGGCGGTGCGCGGCCGGCGGGGCCCCGCGCGCGCCCGAGGCCCGCCAGGCTAGGAGCGCGCGCGGCGGATCGGGGGCCTTGATCGGCGACGCGCAGGGGGGGGTAGGGGGGAGGGGGGAAGGCTTCTTCGAGGCACCCCTGCTTCTTAGAAGGCGCGGGCCTTCTCTATAGGCGTAAGGCCGAGGCCTTCTAAGAAGCAGGGGGCTTCTAAGAAGGCTTCTTAGAAGCACCCCTGCTTCTTAGAAGGTGCGGGCCTTCTCTATAGGCGCAAGGCCGAGGCCTGCTGAGAAGCAGGGGGCTTCCAGGAAGCATTCCCCCCTCCCCCTACCCCCTTTTGCGCGCCGCCAACTTGAGACGGGGGTCAAGGCAAACGGGGGTGAGCCAGAGCGCCGGATCTTGCAGGATCCTGCGGGGCCAGGGTGGCGTTGGCCCAGGTTTGGGTGCGGGATCCTGCGGGATCCCTCGCAGTGGCCCGGGCTTGGGTGCAGGATCTCGAGGGATCTTGCAGGATTCTGTAGGGCCTGACTGACCCGGGTCTGGATTGACCCGGGTCAGAAGATCCCCGAGCGGCTCGGGGCCCGCAGGATCGAAAAAGAAGAAGCCACATAAACGTTAATTTTGGGCGCTCCGCGCGGATTTTGTGGATCCGCGCTGGGCCCCCCTGGCGGCGCCTCCGGCGCCGCCGATGGCGCGCTCCGCGCGCCAGGGGAAAGGCGGGTCCAGCGCAGATCCAAGAAATCCGCGCGGAGCGCCCAAAAAAGTTTCTGTTCATGTGTTTTTTTCTTCTTCTACAGGAGTCGAGCAGGGGCTCGACTGCAGCATTGATTTTCCCCAGAAGGGATCTTCTCGTCGGATGTATACCAACGCACATGGACTGTTCTCGGGGGTGGACAGGCCTCCTACCCTGACACGTCGATTAAGGAATTGGCCGTTTTCGGTTCGCGAGAGGGCGTCGCGGCCGTCATCTTTGCAGGTCCGGGTCCTTCGGTTTCGGTCCCAGGCCGTTTTCACTAAGGGGAGGTCTACTAAAGGGAGGCTTGTCCACCGCCGATGTGCGCAGATCTGCGAGCATCACGCGCCCTGCTTGTCGTAGAGTCGACGCGCACATCAAGCTTGGGGCGCATCAGCTCTGTCGTCGACTCCCCGCTCGAGAAGGAGCAGGGCGATGGCCAGGGGTGTGCGGATGTCGTGCCCTCGTGGTCCGAGCGGGCTCCTCCCTCCGCCCCCCTCGCGCTGTCTTCTCCTCGCCCTCGTGCCTCGCTCCGCTCCTCGTGCACACCGCTTGCCACGACCAGCGTCTGACTGTCTTCGTCGGCTATAGCTGAGGAGCAGGACGAGCAGGAGGAGGAGGACGAGCAGGAGGAGGAGGAGGAGGGGGGGGAGGAGGAGGAGGAGGAGGAGGAGGAGGAGGAGGAGGAGGAGGAGGAGGAGGAGGAGGAGGAGGAGGATCAGGCGGAGGATCAGGCGGAGGAAGAGCAGGAGAAGAAACTCCCCCGCTCCTTCCTCCCGCCTCTCCCACCGAGCAGCTGGGACCCCCGCTGAGGGGAGCCGGCAAGCGATGGGGCCCCGAAGCCCCGAACATACGCCGGGATCGCTGAACCAGGTCTGCCGCAGCTGGTGTTGTTCGGGTGGCGGCAGTTCCGGGTACTGAAGCGGGGCGGGGGGGCGTGCCCCCCAGTGCGCATCATTGACAGAACCAGGTTCCACCAAGCCCAGTCCTGCCAACGCCCGACTTTGGCCACTTGGCGCCCGCGGGCTCAAAAGCACGGATCTCGCGGCCCCCCTCCCCGCGTGACCCGGGCCGGCCGCGCGCGCCTCTTCGCCCGGCCTCCTGCGCCGCGCCGCCGTGCGCGTGGCCGCGACGCCCAAAAGAGTGGAAACATCAGGGCCGGGGACCCTGAACGAAGGATTGCAAAAAAAACCCAGGATTGCAAAAAAAACCGCTTTTTGCAATCCTTCGTTTTTTTTTTTGCAATCCCCGCTTTCGTGGCCCCTTTCCACTTCTTCTGGTGCGCTCCCCGCCCACCCCTCGTCCGCGCACGTGGCCTCGGGCCTCGGTGCGCCCCCCCCTCCTCGTTCTAGTCCCCCCCCCCCCTTCTCCCCAGACCTTCCAGAGAGCTATTTTTTAGCACTGGAGACCTAAAAACCTAAAAAGCTGAGCGAGACAGCCTAAAACCAAGACGTAGAATAGCTCTGGGATAGGTTTTTAAGTCGGGTGCCATTTTTTAGCCCTCCTGGAAGGTCAGGGTCGTCGGTGCACCCGAGGCGGACACTGCTGCACACACACACACACACACCGATTCTGGCCAGGCCCATCGCCGCCGCCGCCGCTCGCGGGCGGCCCCCGGTTGTTCTCCGCTCGCTGGCGGCGGCTCGCCGCCGGCCGGCCGCTGTCGGCCGCCGGCGGTCGCCGTTGGTCGGCGCCGCTCGCCGGCGGCCGCTCGTCTCCGGTTTCGGCAAAGCGGGAGGGAGCTCGCCGGAAGTCAAGCAATGGCGAGGCGTTTGGCGTCTTTCGACTACACGTAAGAGTGACTTTTCGCCGGAGTGACCTTTGGTGCGGGCTCATCGGGCTCCCCCCGATCGCCGAGCGCGATGCGATATCAGCGGCCCGCGCCCTTGCGTTTGGCTCCCTCGCGCCCCAAAAAGCTGCGCACCAAAGGTCACTCTTACCCAGGGTCACTCTTACGCCTAGCCGAGTCTTGGCTTGCCCATGGGCCCGCCGTAGAATGCTCAAAGAGCCTCTTGTGGTTTGCGCGGGATGTTCTCTGAATCTTTCTGGCCGAGACCATCTTGTTGTCATACCTCGGCCTTCTGTTCTGAGAGCACTGTTTCGGTTCTTCGAACATGTCGTGATAGGCCTACAGGAGCCGGGACGGTCGGTCCCCGCTCAAGGAAGACGTCGGCCTAAGGTCAGCGAAAGCTGGCGGAGGCGATCTCGTCCTCTCTTTTGAGAAACGCCACCGTTTGGGTTTTTAGGGTTCCTGCAGCGGGCCAGATGCCTCGGTGACTTCGAAATCCCGAGGATCTCACCGGACGGCCTGTCGCCGGACGGCTTCGGGGCCGTGGATGTCCCCGGCGCGCTCGAGACATTCTCGGAGAGCGACCTGCGTCCCAACACGGTCCGCTCACCCCGAAACACACATTCGACTCGCAGAACGGCATGGTCGCCAGGCCGTTTGGGAACCCAAGGCTGCGGAGAGCAGCTCCTTCCGACCTCCCTGTCGCACCCTCCGGCCGTGAAGGGTCATCCCTGGCGCTCGGCCCGGGCGGACATCTGCTGTTCAGAAGGGAAAAAGCACACAGACACAATTAGTCTTTGATTTTTCCCAGAAAATATGGAAAATTATCCCAGTGCGACCCTACCTAGGAGTTGGAGCATCTAGGAAAGCAACATCTACATCTACACCGACAGCTACATTATCACCTACACCTGCATCTAAATCTACATCTACATTAACATCAACAGCGTGCTTGCATACCCTAGCATAGCATATGCATGCTATGCTGCGCTATGCTATGCTATGCCATGCTAAGCTATGCTATGCTATGCTATACTATGCTATGCTATGCTGCGTTATGCTATGCTATGCTATGCTATGCTATGCTATGCTATGCTATGCTATGCTGCGCTATGCTATGCTATGCTATGCTATGCTATGCTATGCTATGCTGCGCTCTGCTATGCTATTCTGCGCTATGCTATGCTATGCTATGCTATGCTGCGCTGTGCTATGCTAAGCTAAGCTATGACATGCTATGCTATGCTATGCTATGCTATGCTATAGTATGCTATGCTATGCTAAGGCTAATGCTAATGCTGCGCTGCGCTAAGCTAAGCTAAGCTGAGCTAAGCTAAGCTGAGCTAAGCTAAGCTAAGCTAAGCAAGGCTAGGCTAAGCTAAGCTAAGCTAGGCTAAGCTAAGCTAAGCTAGGCTAAGCTAAGCTAAGCTAAGCTAAGTTAAGCTAGGCTAAGCTAAGATGAGATAAACAACGCTAAGCTAAGGGGACGTAACTGGGGGAACCGTGGGGCGGATGCCGGGGGAAACGCCCGGGGCGGGTTCCACTGCCCGGCCCCTTTAAGCCCAGAGAGTAAGAACCTTTCTAGGCAGAGCCTAGGTAGGGAAATGTGTGAAGTGGGGGAGGGCAAAAACCCAGAAGATATGGGACAATGTGGGGAATCCTGTTATCTGTGTGTATTTATTAGTGTGTCCCAGGGACCCTTTCACGACGTGCGGTGTGCGGTCAGGATTTTTGGCTCAGCGTGCCGCTCCGTCGGCTCTGGCCACCGCGCTTCGGTGCGACGCGCCATCCACTGTCTGGCCCCCGGCGTGACCATCCATAGGCTTTCCCAGCCTCCCGCCCCGCGGAGCGGGAGCGAGACGCCATCAGTTTGCAAGGTATAGCGTGTCGCTGGGGCCGCCGCCGCACCGCGCTATGCAAAAGTTCCCGACCGCAGAATCGTTCCTGGCGCTCGGCCCAGTTGGATTAACCATGAGTGGATGCGGCGTCGGAGGACTGCGAGAGGGATTGGGCATGAGCAGTTTGAAGAGGTTTGGCCGACATCAAGCTGCCTGCGGCATGTCCCGCCACCGTGCCAGCCCAGCATTCTCGTTTGCGACTTCTCGAGAATGTGAGAGCCATGATGAGGATGAGGATGAGGATGGAGATTAAGACGTCGACGACGACGACCACGACCACGACGATGATGTGGATGATGATGACGATGACGATGATTCTGATGATGCTGATGATGATGTTGATGATGATGATCATGCTGATGATGCTGCTGCTGATGATGATGACGATGCTGATAACGATTATGATGAAAATGACGATGCTGCTGAAAGTGATGATGGCGATGGCGATGTCGATGATGATGCGGAGGATGAGGATGATTATGCTGCTGATGATAAAGCTGATGCTGATGATGTTATCGTGGATGATGATGATTACGATGACGACGATGATGCTGATGGTGATGATGATGTCGCTGTCGTCAATGATGATGGGGACGATGCTGCTGATGATGATGATGACCATGATGGTCAGGATGAAGACGACGATGATGATGCCGATAGTGATGATGATACTGATGCTGATGATGATGATTGCGATTACGATGGCGATGGTGCTGAAACTGATACTGATGATGACCCTGACGATGCTGTTGATGATGTTGTGATCATGACGATGATACTCACGACGATTCTGATGAGGATGACGACGGTGACGAGGGCGTTGCTGAACAATGATTTTGACGGTGATGATAACAAGAATGATGATTATGAGATATTACGATGGTGCTAATACCGATGATGATACTAACGATCGCGATTAATTAATCATTACAGCGATGATAAGAACGATGAATGATGATACTGATGACGCTCGAGAAGATGGTGATGAACGGAGGAGGATGATGATAGCAACGATGTCGTTACTGATGGCGATGATGAAGGTGGTGACGATGATCATGCATAGTCATGATGATGATGATGACGATGATGATGATGATGATGATGATGATGAAGATGGTGATGATTATGATGACGGGTCTGATGATGACGAACATGAGGTGGAGGTTGAGGATGCTGATGATGATGACTAATCTGATGAGGATGATGTCGCCGATGCTGATGATGATGAGGAGTATGGTGGTGATGATGTTGAAACTTACGATGTCGTGGATGGTGATGATGTTGATGGCGATGGCGATGATGACGACTCACATGATAAGGATGAAGACGATGACGATGTTATTGATGCGGATGATCATACTAATGATGCTGATGACGAATGGTGAAGGTTATTCTGGCGATGCTGATGACGGCGTTGATGACGGTTCTGGTCAGGATGATGATGAGGATGATGATGATTATGAGCATGATGATGTTGATGATATTTCTGATGATGATGTTGATATTGTTGCTGGTGGTAACGATGTTGATGATGAGGATCTTAGTGATTGTGATGAGTATCATGATGATGCACACGACGCTGATGATGATGCTGTTGCTGCCTTTGCTAATGCTGATGATCATGGCGATTCTGATGAGGGTGAAGGCGACGATGATGATGCTGCTGCTGACGATGCTGGAATAATGCTGATACTCATGATGATGCTGATGCTGCTGTTCTTGTTGGTGGTGATGATGATGACGATGATGCTGATGCTGATTCTAATTATGTTGACGATTCTGGTGATGATGATGAAGAAGACGACGATGTTGACGGCGACGATTATGATGATGATTGTAAATCTGATGATGCTGATAATGATACTGAGGGTGATGTTGTTCACAGTGATGGCGATGACGATGATGATGATGATGATGCTGATGATTGTGATGCTGCTGATGATTCCAAATATGGTGATGTTGTTGTTGATGGTGGTGACGATGGACGATGATGATTCTGCTGCTGATGCTGACGATTCTGATTATGCCCATGGTGATATTGATGCAGACGACGATGATTCTGATGATGAGGATCATGCGGATGATGATGACGCTGATGATTATGATGAGGACGACGACGGCGACGACGACGATGACGATACTGATGATGGTGATACGGATGCCGCTGTTTTGTTGATGATGGTAGTGGCGACGATGATGCTGCTGACGATTATGATGAGGATGGGGACGATTATGATGACGATGTAGACGACGACGATGACAGTACCGATGATGCTGATGATGATGCTGATGATGACGATGCTGATTATGATTCTGATTCTGATGATAGCGATGATGGTGTTGATGGTGATGATGATGATGATGGTGATGACGACGATGATGATGATGATGGCGATATGAAGATGGGGAGGATGATTGCGATGACAAGGACGACGAAGATAATGATAATGATTCTGATGATGCTGTTGCTGATGATGATGATGATTTTGATGATGATGACGACGACGATGATGGCCATGATGATGATGAGGATGATGATGATGATGATGATGCTGACGATGCTGATCCTGATGCTGATGCTGCTGCTGATGCTGATGCAGATGATGCTGATTGTGATGATGCTGCTGCTGATGATGATGATGATGATGATGATGCTGGTGATGACGACGACGATGATGGCCTTGATGATGATAATGAGGATGATGATGATGATGATGCTGACGATGCTGATGCTGTTGCTGATGCTGATGCTGCTGCTGGTGCTGCTGTTGCATGTGATACTGACGCTGCTGCTGATGCTGATGCTGATGTCGATGATGATGCTGATGCTGGTGCTGCTGATGATGAAGATTCTGATGATGATGATGCTGATGATGATGACTATTGTTGATTATGATGGTGAAGCTGATGACGACGACGATGACGATGATGATGATGATGATGATGATGATGATGATGATGACGACGACGACGACGATGCTGATGCTGATGCTGATGCTGATGCTGATGCTGATGCTGCTGATGATGAGGATGATGATGATGATGTTGACGATGCTGATGATGATACTGGTTATGATGATGATGACGATGCTGACGATGATGATGGTGATGATGATGCTGATGATGATGACGATGATGATTGCTGATGATGATGGTGATGATGACGATGCCGATGACGATGCTGATGCTCATGATGATGACGATGACGATGCTGATGCTGATGCTGATGCGGGTGCTGCTGATGATCATGATGATGATGCTGCCGATAGATGATGATTATCATGCTGCTGATGATGATGCTGATGCTGATTGTTATAGTGCCGCTGGTGGTGATGATTATGCTGCTGCTGATGGTGATGATGCTGCTGCGGATGATGATGATGATGATGATGATGATGATGATGATGATGATGATGATGATGATGATAATGATGATGATGATGATGATGATGATGATGCTGATGATGATGATGATGATGATGATGATGCTGCTGCTGCTGCTGCTGCTGATGATGATGATGATGATGATGATGATGATGATGATGATGATGATGATGATGATGATGTGTCGCTGGCCCGAATCCGACATGCCTGTCTTGCGGATCCTACGCGCGTCTCCCAGAATTCATGCCTCTCGGCAGGCGCACCGCCCGCTGCGTCCTCGGCCGCTGCTGGCGGTGCTAGTTGCAGGACCCGCCTGCCGCGCCAAAAGTTCTCCGCGTCTCGTGCTTGCGCGCGTGCACACGTGCGCAGTTGGGGGCCACGCGCAGAGGGGTAATTGGGTGGAGGGGGAAAGGCTTCTGAGAAACATCCCCCTGCTTCTCAGAAGGCGCGGGCCTTGCCTGTAGACGTAGGGCCAGCGCCTCTAAGGAAACGGCACTCCTTCCAAAAAGCTTTCCCCCCTCTCCCTACCCCTTCGTGCGCCGTCAGCAGGCGGGGGGCCACCACTCGGGCATCGAGCGTGGCACGGGTCACAGCGGGGCACCATGTTGTTCACGGGCAGGTGTGACGAGGGGGGCGGTGCTGCTGCTGGCCGCACTCGCAGGCGACGCAAGGAAGCGAGTTCCCCCCCCCCTCCCCCCGCTGCCCAGCGCTAGCCGTCGGCCCTCGTGACGGCTGGGTCGCTTCCGCCCGCTCTCCTGCCAGTGGCCTCCTCTCGCGCTGGGACCTCACCCCCTGGTCGCGAAACATCGCTGGCTGGCGCCGCTTGAGCAAGGAAACAGAGTGAGTCTTGCGCGGAGATGACGTTAGCGAACCTAAGCTCGGTGGCTGCGCGGCCGCCAGGCGGCAACGCCACACTCGAAACGAAGGCGCTTACGCGCGATCTTAGGCGGCAGCTCACGCGATAATGTCCGTTCGTGAGGGCGAGGGGGGCGATGGCGCTGAAGGGGGGAGGAGCCGAGGAGGAGGAGGAGGCGGAGGAGGAGAGGAGGAGGGAGGAGGAGGACAGGAGGAGGAGGAGTGGAGGGGAGGAGGAGGAGGGGAGGAGGAGGAGGTGGAGGTGGAGGTGGAGGTGGAGGTGGAGGTGGAGGTGGAGGGAGGGAGGAGGAGGAGCAGTAGGAGGAGGAGGAGGAGGAGGAGGAGGGAGGGAGGGAGGGAGGGCGATGCCCGGTCGGCCGCTTGCGGGTGGCACGGGCGCGGCTCGCCGGCATCTCGCCCGTGGCCTTGCGCTGCACCATGTGCTGGTCGAGGAGATGCCTCTCGGGTGGGGTTTACCAAGTTCTGGGCCTCCAAGATGGGGTCCCAGTAGGTTGACGAACGAACAACACACCCATACCCATAAGGGCGGTCGTTGGGAGGAGGACTCGCTATGGGTATGGGTGCGGGTTGTCGGACCCTGGGGAACGCTCCCGTTCGAGCTGGGACCCCCATCCGACAACACGTACCCATAGCCCTCTCCGACCCCTCTATGGGTATGGGTGTGTGTTGTTGGTTCGTCAGTAGGTGGGGTCGGAGGGTCGCGCCGCATTGCCGATGAATCGGCGATGCGGCTCGATGCGGAGCCGGATTTCCTCCACGCCGACGTCGCCGATGCATCGCCGACGTCGGCGGTGCATCGCCAATGCATCGGCAATGCATCGCCGATACGGCGCGATCCTCCGACCCCATCTTCTCGGACGCCATCTAGGAGGCCTTTGGGAGTGGAGTTCGCCTCACGATCGACGAACATATCCGGATCCGCGCCCTCGCGGGCTGGATTCCGGGGCGCGATCCCGCGGGTACGCACTCGCACGGATACGGTCTGCGCGGGGCATCCGAGGCAAAATGCCTTTTTATCCGCGGGGTCGCGGTCAGGAGGCTTGCCCCGCGAGGCTGCGGATACGGATATGCTGTTCGCTCACGGTCACCGTAAGGCGTTTGGATTGGGACACAAAGAATATACACCACCACCACCACGTCGATTCCTCCTCTCTCCTCTACCCTCCTCTTCCTTTCCTCTTTCCTGGGAGAGGGAGGGGGTGAGGGAGGTTGTGGTGGTGGTGCATATTTTTTGGCCCCTCATTTGGAGAATACGGATGCGGATGCTCGGAGGGTTATCGTGGGGTCCAGGAGGAGTGAGCTCCGCGATCGCAGCGGAGCGGACGAGAGCCAGAGGGGCTCGTCGGGCTCGGTCGGCAGCCAGAGACTCCCTCCTGTGCCTCTCGGTGGCCAGGGGCCGCAGTTGCGAGGATCGGATGCTGCGAGGGACGGCTTCGTGGATGGGCCAGCGCAATTAATCGCCTCTCCCTCCCTCTCGCCCCCTGTCGTTTACTGCCCCCTCTCCGCGTTTCTCTTCTCTCATCTCTGCTGCAGGGCCCTTCGTTGGCTCATCCGCCGCTCTCCTCACTTGGCTCGCAGTGACACTCCTCAGGAGCCCACCCACGATTCGCTGTCTTTCCCATGGCGTCTCTGCCGGGCTCCAAGGCCAGAGCGCCAGGCGCGCTTCGAAGGCAGCTCACCGCGCTGCGCTGTGCCCCGAGGCTCGAGAGGCAAAGGCCGCCTCGGCCAGGGGCCGCCGCTGGCCATGGGGCGGGCGCCGCGTGCACTGGAGCGCGGCGCGGCGCGGCGCGGCGCGGCGCCCGCCTGCCGGAGCGCCGGCCCGGGGTGCTCGCGCCTGCCCGCTCGGCGATGGCAGGCCGGGGCTGGCCTGGTGCCCGCCGGCCGGCCCCCGCCCCGGCCGCGCAGCGCGCCCGCGCGAACCGCCTCGGGCGCGGCCCGCGGTGGTGCGGGCCGCGGCGCGCGCGCCCGCGGGTCGGCCCCTGACCCCGGCCGTGCTGGGCGCGCGACGCCGCGGCCCCGCCCTCGAGCGCGGCCGCGGGTCCACCGCCGCCGCCGCCCGCCGCGCGGCGCTTGCCCTGCGCGGCGGCCGGCGCGGCGGCGGCAGCGGCCGCCGTGGCCCGGGGCCGCCGAGCGGCCCGGCGGCGCGGGGCGGGCGGCCTTTGCGGCCGGCGCGCGGTGGCGGCGGCCCGCGCTGCGGGGCCGCCGGCGCGCGGTGGGGCCCGCAGGCTGGCCGCGCTGCTCTTCTCGATGATCCTCAGGACGTGTGTTAGCCCAATGTCGGAATCTGGAACGTATGGTGGGCTGTTTCTCGAATCCCAGGACTTTTTGAGGGTCGGGGACGACGTCGGGGTGGTGTGGTGTATACTTTTTTCACCGTTTTCCCCGCGAAACAACGAAATATGTATACACCAGGATCCCGTATACACCAGGATCCGCTTTCTTGTTTGCAGACTTCAGTACAGGGCCGGAAAAAGCATCGGTGGCTAGTGTTTGGTTCCCTACAATGTGTGTTTACCCTGTTCAGCCCAACCAGTCGATCATCACATCGCCTTAGTCGTATTGAAGGGCCTCAGTGGGCAAGCACACGTTGGCGCCAACACACACTCTGAGGATCATCGATCTTCAGCCTCGCCGACACCCGCGGTGTGCTCCTGCTGGCGGTGGGCCTCTGCGCCGTGGGGGGCGCCAAGGCGGCCGGCCTCGCGGCGCCGTTCGCGCTGAAGCGCGCTGTGGATGCCCTCAGCAGGGGCCCCGGTGCGGGCGGCTGCGCGGCCGGGGTCAAGTGGATCGTGACCTTCGCCTTGCTGAAGGGGTCGAGCCAGCAGCTGAACAGTAGCAAGAATGTTCTGCTGTCCTTGATCTCGCGCCCGATGGGTCGGAGGCTGTCCATGCGGCTCTACGCGCATCTGCTAGAACTGGACCTGCAATTCCACACCTCGCGCCGCACCGGCGAGTTGCTGCGCCGTCTCGACCGCTGCTCGCGCGCGGTAGAGACAATCCTTCGGGCAGCTCTGTTCACCTTCGTGCCAGTGTGCTGCGAGCTGTGCGTGGTTGTGGGCCTGTTGTCCTCTCGGGGGCGAGACGTGGCTGCCATCGTTTTATCAGCGTTCGTTTCTTATGTGGCCTTCACAATTGCCATGACACTCGGCTGGGTGACGCGTGCACGGAGGCGCATGAACAGATTTGACGATGCCCAATCTGCGCGCTCAACAGAAGGGTTGATCAACATCGAGCAGGTCAAGCTCTTCCGGGCCTTGGACCGAGAAGGGCAGCGCTACGATTCGGCCCTGCGAGGGTACCAGGGTGCTGCTCAAAGCTCCGATTTCGCTGGAGCCGCTTTAGTCGCGGGCCAACAGGTCATCACCACATCAGGGCTCGGGCTCGCCCTCTGGAGCGTCGCCCGTCGTGTCGGCAGCGGTGCAGCCTCCGTTGGCGACATCCCCATGGTCCACGGCCTGGTGCTGCAGCTGTGGAACCCGCTGCAGTTCCTGGGAGTCTACGTGCGCGAGGCCAGGCAGGCGGTCATCGACCTCGAGGACGCCTCGGCCCTCCTGGCACTCGAGCCTCTTGTCACGGAGCCTTCTCGCCCAGCTCCGCTGCCGGCTGCTGGGCCAGAGGTCCCGGTGGTCGAGTTCCGCAGCGTGCACTTCCGGTACGGGGATGCCGGACCCGCAGTCCTGCGCGGCGTCTCCCTCGCCGTGCCGGCGGGCTCCTGCGTGGCGCTCGTGGGCGCGTCGGGCAGTGGCAAGAGCACGCTGGGCAGGCTGGTGCCGCGGCTGGCGGATCCATGCGGCGGCGCGGTGTTTTTCAACGGGGTGGACGTGAGGCAGCTGGAGGTCGCCGAGCTCCGTGGGCGGATCGCAGTCGTGTCGCAGGACGTGGTGGTCTTCAACGAGACCATGAGGTACAACCTCGCGTACGCGAAGCCCGACGCCTCGCAGGCCGAGCTCGCCCTGGCGCTCGAGGCCAGCGGCCTCAGCTCGGCTGTGGCCGCGCTGCCCGCGGGGCTCGAGACGGCGGGGGGGGAGAGGGGCCTCGCGCTGAGCGGCGGGGAGCGGCAACGGCTGGCGCTGGCCCGGGCGCTGCTGCAGCCGGCGGAGCTGGTCCTGCTCGACGAGGCCACCAGCGCCCTGGACGCCGCTGCCGAGGCGGCGGTGCTCCGCGCGCTGCTGGCGGAGCGTGGCCGGGGGCGCTCCCTGCTGGCGATTACGCACCGGCTGGACACGGCACGCCTGGCGGACGAGGTGGTCGTGCTGGACCGCGGGGAGGTCGTGGAGCGAGGCCCCCACGAGGACAGGGCTGGACCTGAACGCTGTTTTGCTGGACTTCGGCTGAGCTTCGTTTTTCGTTTTGGCAGGGAGGTAGGCAGAGCAGAACGACAAACAAGACGAGAACAGAACGAGAAGCAGCGTTTCGGTCCAGCCCTGCACGAGGAGCTGGCGGCGGCCGGCGGGGCCTACGCCGCGCTGCTGGGCGCT